CTCATATTGAAGGGAATTTGTCGAAAGCCTCATCGGGGTATTTAAGAATTCACAAAAATCTGTATAGGCCTAATTCAATGCATATTTGAGATCACCTGAAGATTTGTCCCTCCCAGATTATTTCACCTATTAATTAAACACACAAACTCTACCTGGGGGGAGAGGGTTAGGTTAGGTTAGGTTAGCGCTTACATGTTTAATCATCAGATGAAATAATCAGACTAGTTAAGAAGTTACAACACTTTTTCCACGAGGCTGCGAGGTGACCCTGGTTACAGCGGCTTCAGAGCCCAATACAAAGGTCATTTTCCAGACTGATACGCGCAGCCGCCAGTAATTCCCACCGCCCCAGTCATCACATCAAAGCGATATATAATTTTACCTTCGTGAGAATTAATACAGGTGTGTCAAAATATACCTGGAGATTTATTAGTTTTTTGTTGCTCCCTTCACTACACCTGCAATATATCCAGTGACGCTTAAAGTAGGTGGAAAAGTCAGGTGACGTCATAGGGTATTAAGGTTCTGTAATGTAGGTCAGTTTAGGTCACAGTCTTTCAGTAAATACCCAGTTAGCGGATGAAAGTCAATCAGTATACCCAGTTAATATTATACCAGTCATTGATGATTACAGTCTATCTTAGGTCATAGATAATTGGAGTATAGATCAGTCAATCAGTCAGTCAGTCAGGGGGAAGTGGAGGTAGTTACAGTCATCAAAGGTCACATCCCTCCAGCAGTGACCATCAACCAAGGAAGGTCACATCCCATAGGTCATCAGCGTCAGGTCACACGAAGAGAACGACCATTGGCTGAGAGTTATGGGTCACTCTCAGCACTCTTGTCGCTGTGCCATGTAAAACCAGATGATTTTTATAACTCTTTTTGTCATTCTCTTTGTTATATCTTTATTGTTTATCATCATCACTTTAAATATTTACACGTATGGATCATATAAGAGTTGCTGTACTTAACTGTATTTTGTATTTCAGATGGATACATAGAGATGCCCTACTAAAGGTGTTGTATTTTTCTGTGTATTGTGTGAAGGTAGTTACTTGAACCGTGTGATTGTTGTTGTTTGATGTTTAGTCTCGCTGCGGGAAGGGAATGGAGGGAGAGAGGAAAGGAGGGGGTGGAAGGGAATGGTAAAAGGGAGGGGTGGAAGGGAATGGAGGGAGAGGGAGGGATTGGGTCGAGATAGGTAAGACAATTCAGAGAGAATGAACTCATTAACTTGTGTTTCTCTTCAGTTACAAAAAAAAATGCTCTACTTATATTCCTGTGAGGAGAGCCATTGGGCGGCGTCTCTTTCTCTCTTATTTCTCTCTCGATATGCAATAAAAAGAAGAGAAATTGAAAGAAAATTAAAAAAAAATATACAGTCAAGTCATCTGTTGGCGAGTCATTCGTGTTCATATTATTGTTTCACGTGAACCAAATAACCATTTTCAGCTCCTTCATTCTTCTGTCTTATTTTATCTCTCTTGTCTCGTTCTTTCTCTACCATCGTGTGTGTGTGTGTGTGTGTGTGTGTGTGTGTGTGTGTGTGTGTGTGTGTGTGTGTTACTCCCATCACCACCTCTTCCTTCCCACCCCTTCCTTCCCATCCCTCCTACACCACCCTCTTCTCTATCAGTTTTAGTTCTCCGCCACCTTAACATCTCCACCACTCAATCATAGCCTCTCTCTACACCAGCCTTAAATCCCCTTCACCCCATTATCACCACCCTATCATCACCACCCCATTATCACCGCCCCATCATCGCCACCCCATCATTGCCACCCCATCATCACCACCCCATCATCACCACCCCTTATCTTACCCATATCCACCACCCCATCATCCTTACATCATCACCACCCCATGTCATCAACCTCTAAACCCACACCACTACAGCGCCTACACCTCCAACACTCCATCACTCCTCAGACCTCCAAAAAACTCCACTCTACTCCTACACCTGCAACACTATACCTTGGAGGCGTCCCAACAACACGTAACGACAGGTTCCTAACACTCGGCTGAGGAGCGCCTTGTAAACTGACCCTGATTCTGATAACGGAGGGAGGAACACCCTAGTAAGTTATGGTAGTGGGAAGGGGAGTGAGAGGGATGGAAGAGGGCAGGAAGGGAGAGAGAGAGAGATGGAAAACGGCAGGAAGGAAAAGAATAGTGATGAGAGAGAGTAACCATCCCTTGTTATCAGTCACTCACCATCAGTCACTCACCATCAGTCACTATCAGTCACTCATCATCAAAGTGTCACCATCACACTACCATCATTACACTACCACCTTCAGATTGCGACCAGCACACTATCACCATCAGACTCACTATCAGACTGTCACCATCAGACTGCCACCATCAGACTCACTATCAGACTGTCACCATCAGACTGCCACCGTCAGATTATCACCATCAGACTATCACTATAAACCGTTCATCATCACACTACCACCATCAGACTCACTATCAGACTGTTACCAGCAGACTGCCACCTTCAGACTGTCATTATCAGAATAACTACATCAGATTATTACCATAATGCTACCACCATCACACTGTCACCATCAGAATACCACTATAAGAATATCACCATCACACTATCATCATTATAATGCCACCATCCTACTATCGCCATCAGGCTGCCACCATCAGACTGCCACCATCAGACTACCACCATCAGACTGTCACCATCAGACTACCACCATCAGACTGTCACCATCAGACTGTCACCATCAGACTACCACCATCAGACTACCACCATCAGACTGTCACCACCAGACTGTCACCATCAGACTGTCACCATCAGACTGCCACCATCAGACTGTCACCATCAGACTGTCACCATCAGACTACCACCATCACTATCAAATGGATGTAAAAAATGAGAGAAATATCCTTACTTTTATCATTATACAGGAAGACTGTTTTGAGGGTAAGTGACCACGTGATCTGAGACACACTCACATGAGACACTTAATACACTCACTAGCGACGATAAAAAAAATAAACAATAAATTCCTAATATTGCAGAGATGATGAAGATAGCAACATGTGCAACACCTGACAACACCCGTTATATATACGTATTGCACATAGTTGATATACTCGTGTTGGTTTATTTTCTGATCCAAATTTTCAGCTAGATTGATTGACCCCTTGAAAGAGAGAAGATCTTACCACCATCCAGTCATTGTTCTTGAAGCGTTTGGTCAGATGGCTTCCAGTTACCCAGTACTTGAAGAGATTTTGATCACTGATTGGTGGTATTTATTGTATTTTATTAAAGCACCAAGTCTAAAGTTCTTCTGTGTGAGCGTATTGAATATCTCGAGTGTGTGGCTCGTGAGTGTGAGGGTGTTTTGTGTTTCTTTGTTTCTTTTCTGTACACCCTGTTGTTGTTGTGTGTGTGTGTGTGTGTGTGTGTGTGTGTGTGTGTGTGTGTGTGTGTGTGTGTGTGTGTGTGTGTGTGTGTGTGTGTGTGTGTGTGTGTGTGCGTGTGTGTGTGTGTGTGTGTGTGTGTGTGTGTGTGTGTGTGTGTGTGTGTGTGAGATTTAGTTATATTTCTCTATTACTAAACCAAACTTGAGGAATTTCTCCATTTCGGATTACATTATTTTTGTGTATGTGGGTCAGATTTAATCGTATTTTCTTCATAACTCAATTAAACTTGTGCATTTAGTGGTCGACTGTTTCTGTTAAAGGACAAAGCTTAATCCCAAGGTCTATACACCCATGTTAGTTTTAATCTCAAGTTGTGTTAAACCAGCTTACATTAATCCTAGTTTTGTGTCGCTAAACCAAGAGTATTGTAATGTATAAACTTATCTTAGAGAGTCGAAATTATTTAGTGTTTCTGACGGAGACATAGTTCTCCATAGCACTGAGAGATATTTACAGGTTTTAGTGAAATGTTCTGATTATTTTCTTGTTATGGTCAGTAAGTAGTTCAGGGTTTTCTCATAGACAGTCAGGACGTAGAATGTACTGACCAGCTAAGTAAGTATACACACTATACAGCCAGTACGACTTGGTACGACTTGATTGACGTGAGTCGTGCGTCATCGTCCAATTTACATCTCTATGAAGTTGTAAATATTAATGTGTAAAATATGTTAAACTTAACTTGTCATCATCCACTCCTTATTAGTCATTAAGCTAATTAACGTTATCCTGTACGTCTAGTAATTTACAAGCCAGACACATACTATTTTATACAGATATATTGTGAAAATGAATATCAATTATCTCTTAGTATTAAATGTGATGGTGATAATAGTGATGATGATCGATGACGTCACACAGAGTTAGCGATTACATTAAGTACAAATAAATACGCTAATATGTGTATCTTATTTATATATATAGTATTTTTTTTTCACTTATAACCTAAAACCCTGAATTCACTCCATAGGCGATATTCTGTGCGGTATTTACATATAAGTTTACTATGGGATTATCTAGTGTTCCTCCACGACAGGTGAAGGATCTGCCCCCATAGTGTGTTTATATACACCACCAGCCTGTAAATACCATAACACCACCTGTCCATAATGTTTACACTACTATAAATTAGACAAAAAATTACTACACATGTGTTTTTTTTTGTGTTTTTTTTGGGATCATCGTCCACGTCAACTTTATTTTCGTCGTTTTCCTGATAGTTTGAACACCTCGTCTCACACACAAACGTTCATGTCATTGATATATATATACACATACATATGACCTTCATTAATTTACAATGGGTTCCTCTAATGGGTTTGTATAGCCATTAGAATATATTACGGTCTTATCATTTACTTGCAACAGGACGTCCCAAACGTTCATTCCATTAATTAATATATATACACACACACATAGCTTCCCTTAATTTACAATGGTACATCCAAAGGGTTAGGTAGAACCCTTAGACTCGACTACCATCGACCCTTTGCTTGTAATAAGGTCTCCTCCTCCTCCTCCTCCTCCTCCTCCTCCTCCTCCTCCTCCTCCTCCTCCTCCTCCTCTTCTCTCCTCCTCCTCCGTGGGCTCCTACAACACCAGCACCGTCAGGGAGAGGAGAGTTGCCACTACAAGAGGTGTTATTCCACTTCCCAGGCGACGGGCCGACCCATACAGCTTTTGTGAAGGAGCAGCTGTCTTGAACCCGGGAAGGGCCAGATACACCTCAGTTGGCCTGTTGAAGAGAGAGAGAAAACATTATAGAACTTACGCACACACACACACACACACATACACACACACACACACACACACACACACACACACATACATACATATTATTCCTTAAAAATCATTGACCATGTGAAGTGATTTTTGGGTAATTTAGTCACCCTATAGTTCAGCCTAACCTGACCTGACTGATGTAGGTCTTTTGGGGGCGTTCTAGGGAAGTACTGCATTTTAAGTGCGTCTTAGAGCAAGGAATAATCACTTCCTAGTCACCTTTGTGTTATGTGAAGTGAGTGACACATACCAGTATAATCAGAGAGGGAAAACATAAATTATTACTCACTTGTGGTAGTGTGGTTGTGTGGTGTGACTCACTTGTGGTAGTGTGGTGTGACTCACTTGTGGTAGTGTGGTAGTGTGGTGTGACTCACTTGTGGTAGTGTGGTAGTGTGGTGTGACTCACTTGTGGTAGTGTAGTAGTGTGGTAGGACTCACTTGTGGTAGTGTAGTAGTAGTGTGGTAGTGTGGTGTGACTCACTTGTGGTAGTGTGGTAGGACTCACTTGTGTTAGTGTAGTAGTGTGGTAGTGTGGTGTGACTCACTTGTGGTAGTGTGGTAGTGTGATAGTGTGGTGTGACTCACTTGTGGTAGTGTGGTAGGACTCACTTGTGTTAGTGTAGTAGTGTGGGAGTGTGGTGTGACTCACTTGTAGTAGTGTGTTAGGACTCACTTGTGGTAGGCGTCCTGGAGAGAGGCAGCACAGGAGAGGGTGGCCTGACCCCCGTGGATAAAGTGGTTCTCCCTCAACACCAGTTTTAGCTCCGACATCTGGGAGAGACTGTTCATCCCCGTCTCCATCCTCGTCCGCACCCCAGGAGACACCAGCCGGGAGTGTTGGGGTGAGATCTGTGGGGAGAAGGGGAGGTTAGTTGTGGGGAGGAGAGGAGGCTTGTTGTGGGAAGCTTTTGAGGAGGAGTTTAGTTGAGGTGGTAAGGAGGTTAGTTGTTGGGGGGCTGGTAGGAGGAGGAGGTTAGTTGTGGGGAGCTGGGTAGGAGGAGGGAGGATAGTTGAAGATGAATTGATAATAATTAAAGGCAAGAGAATGAAAAAATAGGTCAGTATCTAATAATTTCACTAAGAAGAGCAAATAATAGAAAAATGAAATATACTAGAAGTGAAAGTTTGGGGAAGAAAGTTGTAAGAGGATTGGCGGTTGGCGAGGCGGAGGTGAGTTGGCAGGTGGAGTGAGAAGTTTGGCAGGAGATGATGATGATGATGATGATGATGAAGAGTGAAAACATCAACAAAGAAGTGGGGGGGTATAGTCATGTTTTAGAACAATTATTTAAAAGTTATGATAATGTTCCCGGAAGATTTTTCAATTTAATTAAGAGGAGAATTTGATTGATGACTTGACATAATCCCCTTGAGTACGATCATCTAATCTTTTGAGTACTATGATTTAATCTCCTGAGTACGAAGAGTTAACCCCCTTTAAGACCCCTGACTTAATCCCTTGAGTATGATGACCCAATCTTTTGAGTCCAGTGGCTTAATCCCTTGAGTATGATGGCTTAGCCCCTTGGGTATAATGACAACCTCTTTAGTTCGATGACTTAACCCCTTACGATAACCTAACCTCTTGAGTACGATGACCTAACCTCTTGAATATGTTAACAATCCCTTGAGTACTACGTATTAACATTTTGAGTACAATAACTTAATCCATTGGACCCGATAACTTAACTCTAAAACGATGACCTATTGAGTACATTAACATTGTACTCAAGGGGTTAACGCATATTACTTAAGGGATTGTTAACATATATTAAGACATTACAAAATTATTCTTATAAAACAAAAACAACAAAAAAGTTTATTGGATTTTCTAATTATGTAAATAAAATGAAACAAAATAAAGGTTAGAGTTAAAAAAATTCTACAGTGCCCTACATGACTCGGGTATAGGTCGATAGGTATAGGTCGATAGGTATAGAAAGATAGTTATAGGAAGATAGTTATAGTAAGATAGTTATAGGTAGATAGGTAGATAAAAGAAATAGTCAAATAAAGGGAAAAAAAGACGAAGAAAAAACCCCGAAAATAATGCAACTGTGGGAAACCCGAGGCTTTACCGGGAAAGAGTTGGAAATTACTTTAGATAACTTTGTAAATTTATTTCAGAGACTCTCCCCTCTCCCCATCTCTTCCCCCCTCTCCCTCCCCCTCCCCCTCCGCTGTTGGTACTATTTTCATTACGGTCCGTGAGAGGTCAGCACCTGCCTCGCCTCACCCCGCTTCGCCTCGCCCCGCTTCGCCCCGCCCCGTCCCGATATACTGTATAAGGTAGAAGGAGTCCTATACTGCTATATGATATCCTATATACTGGGATATGAACCTTTTATGATATTGAAGAGGAGGTTTTGTGTGTGCTGGGATTTTTATTTTTATCTCTCTCTCTCTCTCTCTCTCTCTCTCTCTCTCTCTCTCTCTCTCTCTTTTGTCCAAGTGTTTCCTGATTGAACGTTTCCTCATCGTGTGGGATATTACCGCCTTAAAACACATTAATAAATTCTTACCTGTTTACCTTCCCAAATTATAACCACCAACACCCAGCTACGTTAGGTTTGGTTAGGTTAGGTTATGCTAGGTTTATTACTTTAGATTAATTTGGGTTTGGTTATGTTTGGTTAAGTAAGGTTTGATTACTTTAAGTTACGTTAGGTCAGGTGAGAGGGAGGCGTTTACAGGTGTTGCCAGGACAGGTGTGAGCAGTACCTGACCACCTGCACTACACCGGCTGAGAATGTTGCGTGATGATCTACAATACCGTGTGTAAAACTTATACTCATTTGTTATCTTTCCTGTTATCTTTCCTGTTATCTTTCCATCTCTTGAAATTGGTTTTGTGTCATCTCTAACTTGGTTCTTGTCTGTGTGAGCCGGATTAATGGTGTTAATTATCACCGGGTATTGATAAAATGCCCGGCCAGACTCTTTCGTGAAGCTGGTGTTTTATCGTCGGGGAACAACTTAACGGAGCTTCGATAGGTTATGATCAGTCAGTTGGTGTTAGTATTTCCTTTATAAGACTCACGTGAAGTGTCTTTAGTATGAAGAGATTATTACGTGTGGACTCAGCATTACACGGTGGTGAAACATAAGTGTCCTTCGTATTCATTTATACACCATTCATTCATATGTGTTTGTGTCTCTCTAAGTAAATGGATTATTAAAGAATATGTGAATAAATATAAATATATGAATAAGTAAATAACAATATATATAAATCAGCTCATAAACATACGGTACGGGGAATAAAAAGAATCACTCACAACTAAATAAAGACTTTTTTTTCTCGAGGACCACCCTTGCCCTCCCTCCCCTGCCCCTCTCCTCCTCCTCCCTCCCCCTGCCCAACCTCCCCCTCCTCCCTCTCATCCCCCCCCACAAAAAATGCTCCCCGCCTTCTTCTTCTCACGAAAAACTGTGGTGGTCCCCCGGGCAGCAGTAAGCTCAGCCTCCAGCCTCCAGCACTCGTACATTCTTGCTGGCCTTGGTGGGATCATTCCCGGGGGTCTTACAGGCAGGGCGGGAGGGCTCACCTTGTCACCTGTGATGTACCTGCTGAGTTGAGAGGAGGTGGGGGGAGGGAGGCAGGGAAGGAGGGTAGGAGGGAGGGAGGGAAGAGAAGGAAGAAGAAAGGAGGGGGGCTCACCTCTTCACCTGTAATGTACCAGTAGAGCTGAGAGGGAGGGAAGGAGGGTAGAAGGGAAGAATGAAGAAATGAAAGAAGGAGGGAGGAAAGGAGTGAAGAAAACTCACCTTATCGCCATTGATGTACCAGTAGAGGTTGGAAGGAGGTCTGACCCCGGGAGAGGTACAGTTAGCCTCCAGGACCTCCCCAGGCGACCACTGCAGGCGACTGAGGGCCAAATTGGGTGGGCGAGTGGGCACGTCTGCACGGGGAGAGAGAGAGACACACACACACGTTAGCATTTTATCCAATGTAAAGATTCAGGACACATCAACACCAAAGTTTCTAATTACTCTATTTTTATGGGTTGTCAATTTTTCCTATTCTCTTTCGCTTATTTTCTCCTCTGTTTATCATCTATGTATTCCTTTGTTTATCGCTTAAAAGGGATGGAAAAAAAAAAGTTGATTTACTGTGTTGAATTTACCATGAGTGGGTGTAGAGAGATTCAGAACTCCTCCTTACCATTTGTTGTGAATTTATGATGTTGTTAACTTGTGTGTGTGTGTGTGTGTGTGTGTGTGTGTGTGTGTGTGTGTGTGTGTGTGTGTGTGTGTCCATGCATCTTCTTGTAATTTCTCTGAACCAGGAAACAGACCAGGCCACGAGAGAGGTCAGGCACCAGGTTAGAATCCCTAGAACGACCTGAACGACTGACCCAAGCGATAATACAAACTTGCCAAGAAGTTCTTACAGTGAGTTTGGTTAGTCAGTCAGTCAGTCCGCCAGTCAATGTTTACCTTTCACTCAGCCACTCCGTCAGTCAGTCAGTTAGTTAGTTAAGGAGAATGAACGACGCTCTTAACAAAATGGTCGCTAGGATACCTCAAATAAACAGACAGAAAGACAGACACACAAATAAAAACAAACAGAAAAAGGGAGATAGAGACAGATAAAAAAAACAGGAGTCTAAACTGTCTAAAACATTTTCTGGAGCTACACATAATAATAACAAGTTTATTTTTTTCATACACGAATCTAATGAAAGAACTAGCGGCCTCTCATCAACATTGGTTAAGGGGAGGGTGAGGAGGGGGGAAGGGGAGGGGAGGGGGAAAGAGGAGGTGAGGGACGAGAGAATGGGGAAGGAGGGAGTGAGGGTGGTGTGGCGTGGGGGAAGGCAGGGGGAGGCAAGAGGTGAGGGAGGGGGAGAGGGGAGAGGGGGAAAGGGAGGGGGGGAAGATGACTACTCAGAATTGACATACATGAAATAATTAAGAACAGGTAATAGCTTTAGAGTAATTAAGAACAGGTAATAGCTTCAGAGTAATTAACAACAGGTAATAGCTTCAGAGTAATTAAGAACAGGTAATAGCTTCAGAGTAATTAAGAACAGGTAATAGCTTTAGAGTAATTAAGAACAGGTAATACCTTCAGAGTAATTAAGAACAGGTAATAGCTTCAGAGTAATTAAGAACAGGTAATAGCTTTAGAGTAATTAAGAACAGGTAATACCTTCAGAGTAATTAAGAACAGGTAATACCTTCAGAGTAATTAAGAACAGGTAATACCTTCAGATTAATTAAGAACAGGTAATAGCTTCAGAGTAATTAAGAATCACTGTATGAACGTTAAGTAAATCATTCCATCAATAAATCAATTTTCCTCCCCTTTATTGACCTTTTCTCAGGTTATCTATCATCTACTATCTATCTTCTACTCTCTACCATTTTTATCATATATTATCTATCATCATCTACCATCTACTCTCTACTCTTTATACTATCTACCATTTTTATTATTTACCATCTACCATCTACCATCTACCAGCCACCAGCCACCATCTACCAGCCACCAGCCACCATCTACCAGCCACGTCTCCAGGATCTCGACACACCGCCTGTAATATACGTCCGTTCAAGTTATCATTGTTGTCACTTTGGTAGAGTCACTCAGAATGCATCGCCCTCCAAACTCACTTAGTCGGAAGTCGATACCGCACAGTTCTCCTCCAGCAGAGTTTGTAGGTGAGTCGAGAGCGTTATACTGGTGGTGCTGTCTACTGTAGAGGACTCTGTAGCCACGTTAACTGTCCCTGTGTGAGCTCGAAGGTTACCACACACTTGATTTCAGTATTGTCAGGCGCTCGTGGGGTCTTAGTTCTGATACATCCTGATCTTATCCAACTTTGTTTAGTTTAATTTGATCGTATCTATTTTTTTTAACCTAGGTGAAGTTAACCTAACTTTATCCGTATCTAACTTAATCTTACCTAATTTAACCTAACTATACCTAACCCAACCATACCTAACCTTACATAGTCTAACCATACCTAACATTTCCAGGTGAGATAGAAGAGATTGGGGAGATACTTAGTGAGGTGGATGAGGTGGATGAGGTGGATGAGGTGGATGCTTCTTCCCCTCAAGCAGAGCTCCTCATTGGTCCAGAGTTAAAGCGACTCTACCAACGTACACACAGACAGACAGACTAACCTTTAAACCCATACCTACATGCTGCCGATGACAGATGATCGCCAAATTAATGTTACAAATATATTAAAATTAATATACATGATCATATTTTCTGGACAGGTAAGATTAGTACTCTGCCATACCTTTAACACAGGTATTTAATTCCTTTACACTGTTACTGACACCATCTGTTCCCACCTATCACACAATATATAACATCTTACTAAGGCAGGTAACTAAAATATTAAAAAAATAGGAAAGAGAAAGAAATATGAGATAAATAGGAATAAGAAATGGATAAGTGGTATATAGATCTTACACTAGCAGTTAACGAAAATGGAAATGAAAACAAATTGAAATAAGAGACAAAAATACGCTCGAGTCCTTCACATCACAAACTAAGATTGATTTAAGGTCGTTTGGGACACGTTACATCTAGTTTAGTACACGTAGACCAAGATGGGTTTAAACTAGTGCCCTTCATAGTTCAGATTAGACCAATCAGCGCATGTTATACCCTCATACACGTGGATTCTGCCAAATCTGCCTGGAGGGGGCTGAAACTGTACGTCATCCCAGGCAGACTTAGGAAACGACGCTTTTACCATACAGATTGTTGTGGTCGGCGGCACGAGTGTTGTGTATGTGGCTGTTTCTATATGTTTGTCTCTCAGCTGCTTCACCACGCACCACTCCCAGACCTCCAAGGCGTTCGTATATCTCCCAAGTGTCTTCAATATACACAGCAAATATTTTTTTCTTAAATTCTATACATCTTGTTATGCCCCTGGCCGAGTTTTTCTAAGTATATTTTTAAACGAAATACCAAGACCAAATAAAACTCTTAATTGCCTTCTCAAATTTTTCTCATTTTCTCGAGGAGTAAATTTTATGATTCTCGTTCTGAAAAAAGAAAATATTTCATCTTTCTCTTCAAACCTGTTACTGTAGCTGAAAATATACAAGATTTGTTTGTTGTTTATTTGTTTGGTTGTATATATCGTTTGTTTGTTGTTTGTTTGTTTATTTGTTTGACTGTTTGTTTGTTTGTTTGTTTGTTTTGTTATTTTCATTTAGCTCTCAGACGACTTGTGATATGTGATAATTCGTTAAAAATAACCAGGATGTGGGGGGTGGGGGGAGGGAGGGGAGGTCGGAGACGTAGGGGAAGCAGGGGAGGTAGAATGAGGTAAGGAAGGTAAGGGAGGTAGGAGAGGTGGAGGAGGAAGGAGAAGTTCATTACCGATATCACCACCACAACTATCGGTAAAAATCACACCCACAACCACCACTACCATAACCAACCACCACCACCACCACCACCACCACTACCACCATCGCCACCATCACACTGAGGTTGCTGTTGGCTCAGTACTGGACTCTCATCACATAGTTATCATTCCTGTTTGATGTGTTTGATGTGTTGTGGTAAAGCTAAACGTTATGGAAGAGTACTGTACTCTCTCATCCAGGCGTCTTAGTCCATATAATGTGATAAATTCATTAATATAAATCAAATTGAAAAAATAGAAAAACGTCGCATTATAACTAAAATTAATTCTTTACTCTGAAGGTGACCGGGACGAGGACAGCACGACCAGGCTTTGGTCTACAAGAAAGCACTACCATTCAATCGGTCTTTACTACCCATACATACATACATACATACAACAAAGGATTGATACAGGTTAACCGTGATGATGATGATGATGATGATGATGATATAGATAGATTGATAAAACAAAAACAATAAATAAATCACGGGGAAAGATCTGGGGGTTAAACTCCTCCAAAAGTTTACCCACTTTAGGAAATCAATTTATTGGAGATTCAAGTTACATGTAAAAGCCAAGACGCCTCGAACACCTTAAAGAAAGTCTCTATTACACAGTGAACGAAAAGAACAAGAATGGTGAACGAGAGGGGTAGTTCCGCAGGGGTCTCTCTCTCTCTCTCTCTCTCTCTCTCTCTCTCTCTCTCTCTCTCTCTCTCTCTCTCTCTCTCATATCCCGGAGAGGGGCTGAACGAAGATTAAATTTCACACTTAGAATTAGGTCATCCGGAAAGTAAAACCCACAACGCACTATTTTATTTGATTTTATTCTTCCCTCCTGATATCTATAACAGCCAGAGAACTCCTGCAGTGAACTCAAGAGACCAAACAGCTGTGAGTAACGGTGTCTCCTGTACTGATAATAAGCCAGGAATATTTAGTGACGAATGGGATGAAAAGTTTGAGTATATACGAGTCATTTTGATTTGAGAGGCGCATCAGGGGGTGAGTGAAGAGTTGGGGTGGGGTAGGGTGGGGATCATTTTTCCCAAACCACATTCACCATTTCTATCTACACTACCTAACCTTCTCCTCCTCCTCCACCTCTCCCACCACCCACCTCACTCCACCACCCACCTCCTCCACCACCCACCTCCTCCGCTACCCATCTCCTCCACCACCTCCTCCAACATTTCTCCAACATTCCAGCAATTCTCTGCCGGTCAGTGGCAGTTCAGTCACCTTCAGGAGATAATTACCAGACGAAGAGGCGGAGAACTCGAGCCTTGGAGACGTGATACTAAAGGACATAGGAAACCCAGGAGAAGGTAGGAGACCCAGGTGATCGTATTAAGGGTAACACACTCATGTATGGAGAAGGTATGGGAGATAAGTTGTAGGCCTGAACGTAGGAGACATGATATAGGAGACATGACACTGGAGACATGATATAGGAGACATGATATAGGAGAAATTGCTTGTTAAGATTATGAAGAGTAACTATCATCTCCTTGT